TATATATATATATATATATAGATATTCCATGAACTCCCCACATTAGAGGTACAATGTTGTACAATATCATCGGATGGCGTATTAAAATTACATATTATCTTCTCAAAATTATGCATAGTAATTGATATCATTCTTGATCAATCTTACATGAGCATCAAACTTATAGAAATAAAAAAAATAAAAAATAAAAGTTCAAAATAATTTTAGAATAATTTCAACACAATAAAAATTATTTAATGTGCTATTATGAACATTTCCATGTATATATAAATTCATTCAAGTTTCTTAATGCAACATGTAAAATTGTATGTAAAATTGTAAATCGATTCAATTCAATAAAATGGTTGGTGCAACCTGATTCGGTAATTCTTTTTAAAAAATTAAACCATGCATATTTTGACTACTCAAAAACCTCTCAAAGTCTCCAATTGTTAAATCGTCTATCATTATTCAACCTTAAATATTTTATCTTTTATTTCATTTAAAAAAAATACATGAAAACACGAAATACTTCTATTACTCTAGGTGGTTTATGTTATCTTATGCTTGATACTTTTCTCTTCTTTATTCATATCTCTCCTAATTATAAAATTTTTAATTTAAAATATTGTAAGAATATAAATATAACTATTATCAATCCTATAATAAAATTTAGTATCTAATTTTATTTTACGAAATGCATCATGTGTTAGCTAGCAGTGCCAAGTTGGAGTCATAATCATTCATAATCGATAATTGATGACCCCATGTTAGATTTAGCTTCTAGTGTTGATTGGCGAAATTCTGCACTGGACTCCATGGAGACAATAATGGTCCCTTTAAATCTTCTATTTATGCTCATATGATAGAGTTCTTTCACTAATCGATAAATAAATGTGATTAATATTAACACTGTCTTTTAACACTTTTAGCATCATATATAGATTCATGTTATATCATGAACCAACCTAGAATGCTTTCATATGGACATTTGAATTCGTTTGTCTGAATCACAACCAAGCAAGAAAGAGATATCATGTGCTAGCTAGCGGATATAAGGCTTATCATAGCAAAATACCATACTTAATTAAAGTTAATTAATTCATGCATATATCTACTATAGCAATTAGCCAGTTGTGTCATATAACCTCTTTCAATTATATTGTCTTTAATAATGGTTGGATAGGAGGCAAA